TATCTTTCACAAAGCATCACAGTGTGCTTTGATGTTCTACCTTCACTTTTTCCATAAACTTAAAAGCAATGTTCCATTTCTTTTAGGGAAATTTAAAAGAAAATTTGATGCTGAAAACATCTGCAACTACTGTTATTTGCTTTTCAGGGCAGCCATGGCTAATGCAGTGAACAATTTGTCACATGGATTCGATAGCAGTTATTTTCTCTGTTGCTAAACATAGCAGTGTATTGAATGGCTAGAACAGCTTTTGCTTTGGCACAGAGAGCTCACGGATTGTCCAAGAACTACTGAACAGGTGCTCACTGTGACAGCAATAGGAGACTTACAATCTTTTCTGAGCTTCGTTCTCTATGAAAATTTTGAATACATGTACCAATAGCTGGATAAAAAGACTCCTTCCAAACTGCTGATCTGATCTGAAATGAACCCAGAAGCTTAACGGGTAGAACACCGTACCTATACAACACCAGTACCTATAAAATGTCATCTCTTTCTTTGTAGTCTCCATCCTCCTGTCCATGGCCCGGTCTGCTCTACCTGCCCCTATACATTGCTCTTTTCCCTAACTCCAAAGTTTTGCTATTCATGCAGCCACTTCCAGTGATGCATCCATTCTTACATTCCCGCAAGAGTCTGTAAGTTCTCCACAGAATTCATGCAATAAGTCTCTTATAAACATGCTTTCTCATTGATAGGACTCCATAATAAAAATAATGACTTATTTGTGTTAAGTCATTTGTGTGTGTGTATTCGCATGAGTGTGCCTTTTCAAGAGAATGTCTCTTATTTTGGCCTTCAGAATTAGGATTTGGTTCCCAAATGCAATGCACTCTACTCTCTCCTAAAGTACATGATAAGTGGACAAATGAAATCCAGCTAGCACTTTCCTGTTTTATAATACACAGGCAAAAATATGTCAGATAACGGACAATAAAGTTCACAGCACTGGGAGCTATTTTACTTGCACATGAAGTTTATATTTTGAAATCAGATGAATAAAGCACTTTTAGGAAGCATTTTCTTCCTCAATTAGAAAGACGTGGCATCCTGATCCCAATTAATAGTAGAAGTCCATGTCAGTTACTTCTCACCTCTGCTTGTCTTCAGAAACATTTTATGAACATATTATTTTCCTATGTCATTCATTAAACTTGCTATGGAAACCTCTTGACACTAGGATTGACAGTACTGTATTTTAAAAAGAAAATAAAAATACAAAAATGTTACCTTCTCCCCAATCTATTTCATAACAATGCGTCTTTCAGAACCCTTCTGGAATCTCAAGGTTATGCATACTGTACTTGCTTAGGAGGAACACTAAATATTCCACAACTGACATGACCAACTCCAAAACCCTGAACTATATGCTGAAATTTTGGCTCCATTTTATTATCCGTCTTATGGATAATAATTAAACTTAAAAGGTTAAAAGAAAAAATATATCGGAGAACTCCTCCTCTCATCTTGTGTTAAATGTTCATAGCGAATCAAAGTCCAAAACACCAAGAGCTTTCTTCTTGATGAATTAAAATGAAGATTCCTTATCTGTACTTCAGCTTCCTCCACTGTTCGGTTTATTTCAGCAGCACGCAGCTGAGATCGCAATCTGATGGAGCTAGTG